GCAGAAGCTTTTTCGAAATTGTGTCGTTATTCTTATTCATGTTTCTCGAAAATCCATATACTCCATTATTCTTCTTCATATAATATCATTCGAAGTAACGCTTCTTCCCTCCCGCAAACAATTCCACGCGCCTGGGCGGCTGCACTTGGCTTTGGTTCCGCTCGAAGAGAGAAAAAACGGTCGATCAACGAAATAGTGTGTTAGGAGGTGCAAGTAGATATAAGAGCGCAAGTAAGCCAAGGCTGCTCGGAATTGCGTCGATACTTCGACTACGACGCTAGAACTGCAATCGCTTATAAATAGAAACTACCGTGACTCTCACCTCGCCTTTCATAGTCCTTTTATCGCCTCTCAGGACAATTGCGGGCTGTCGCGTCGCTCGAGTGTTCCGAAAGACAGCCTCGGAGATCGCAGGCGACGGAGCAGTGCTGCCGCAGGACGTGCAGCTAGGCGGGCGTCGTTGGCAGCGATTGTGCCAGAAACGTGCAGCGTTCGTTTATCTTGCAAGGACGAACGATGATGACTGATGAGAGCGATGAGCATGGCACCCGCCATTGGAAAAGTAACGGGAGGTCAAGGTCGCGGGTTAATGTCTAGAAGGCCTTCCAGTCGATTGTTACTCCCAGGTGGCGTGTTGATGGATCTCGGTACGCGTCGTTGTGTCATCACGTGCACGCATGCCGCAGTGTTTGGGCTCTGTAGATCGATGTCTTTTTAAGGGGCCACCTTCTTACGGATTACAATGTAAAGTAGTCCCTTATCGACTGTGACGCTTACGTCACGGCCTGGCTATAGGCACGGCTGCTTAACTGTTAACTATTCGACTTACGGAGGTGCATCGATCCCATTACTCTTGGACTTTTCCTGTATTATCGAACATCGAGCAGCGACGAGCAGCAAAAGGGTCATCCGAAAGGCGGCGGCGAGCTGCCGTTCCTCGATCAGTAAGATAATCCAGGGACGGCCGTTCGTATTAGTCATTTATTGCGCCAAACTGGAGTGAGTGTCTAGACATCGAGAATGAGGGGTCAGAAGCTCAGCCTCCTCGGGAGAGCAGAATCCCGAGTCACAGTGAGATCCATGCACCCCCCCCCTCACCCCCGCCCTGCTTCCTTTGTCCGTCTCCAGCCCCTCCCCTTGCCTGCTAGTCTCTTCTCTTTAATACTCTCGTTCAAGCGTAGCTTCTCGTTTCCTCCGAGTCCTCCGAGTGGAGTAGGTCGGAGCGAGACGTAGAATCGCGCCGATGGGCTTTTCAAAATCCACCTTTTGCCAGTGTGATTTATTATTATTGCCAAGCATATTGACGAGGAGGCGGAAGAAGAAGTTGCCGAGGGACTTGAGAGTCTAAGTCACTCGCGCAATATTTCCTTATTTAATCGGCTCGTTCCGAGTTCTGCTTCGAGCGGCCGGAACGCTTGAAAATGTTATTCCACTCTCGTTTTTCCTTTTTCTTCTCAGAAGTTCGCCTTAGCGACTTCTCCTCGAGTCAGGATTATCTTCCCTCTCTGGAAACCGTGTGTTCGCTGTAGTTTCTAGTAAGACATTCTTGTTTTACACCTACGATACCTTTATTAAGAGTGAGAACCTCTGCTGTCGGCCTGGTCTATGAGAAAGAAAGATTCGAACCAGCCCAAATAGGTCGAACCTGATTAAGGTCAGAGTCCCCGACGAGGAGACGCGTGTACCAGCGCGAGGAGCAGCTTTCGGACGGAGCGCATTGTTCGTAGAAAGTGTTACGCAACCAGTCAACCGTGATATAGGAGGGGAGGAGACTTTCGTGTAGCCACACAGTCAAATTCGTACTGAGATACTTGCGACTGCCGAGTCAATAAAATACTTGACAGTTTCGTAATTTCGTGCGAATTCCTTATGACTCAACGAATTGGCGAACCCGTCCTGAGGACGCAGACTCCCACGCAATCTGCCGACGGCCAAGATAAAGAAAAACTAAAGGGAAATAAGAGAGAAGAGAAGGCACGAGATCCGATAGGATGAGAGAGAGAGAGAGAGAGAGAGAGAGAGAGAGAGAGAGAGAGAGAGAGAGAGAGCGAGAGAGAGGAATGAAGCGGAGTGCATGAATTGCGATCTAAGGACGCCGCGGCGGGGTTTGGCGGCGGCGTATCCTGTATCCAGCAATTATCGGTGCTAAATTTTTACGACGCGCGGATAATACATGAGAGTTCTTCCCTCCGAAGGAGGGCAGGACCTCCTTCCGTTCCTGAGATGCTCCCCTGCGTCCCCTCGTCCCTCTCTCGCCATCCTCTCTTTTCGATCTCTTTGCTTTTCTCGGCGAACCGACGGTAACGGTCAGTCGCTAAATCGGATAAATGGCGAATCGCCTCGTTTACTTTGCATTTACACGCGAGAACTTCGGACGGCCGGCTGCTCGTTACAGACGGGACGAGGAGGCCAAGGGAATCCTTCCAATTATTGGACGTTTATTCGGCTACGAATTATCCTCTCTCGCCTCTCGAATCGACCGGTGGGCGGAGTGGGGGGGGGGGGGA